TTTCTTGTTATTGCTGGATTATCAGATACATCATCCAAAATTACCAATATATTAAATAACTTCTTCGTTCCTTGTTTTTTCTGGTATTCAATTATTCTATTTTGAGTTTCTATAACTCTTTCTAAATCTTCAACATTGAACTCATCCCACCAACACGGTTCTTTATCATTATCTACTTTCAAACCTTCCTTAATGTATTTTTTAACAGGCAACCAAATACTATCTAAATTTACTGATGGCGACCAGATAAAAATTCGTTCAAATGCTCCTCTGTAAATATCAAGTATCATTGATACAAGTAGCGTGCTCTTTCCAGAGCCTGACGGGCCCACAATCATCGCTCTCGTCGGCAATTTAGGGACGACCTCGTGCTTGCTTTGCTTAAAGTCATATTCGATTTCATCAATTGGTTTTACATCAGGCGTAATAAAATAATATTAAAGATATTTAGAAAATAATTTAATATTATTTATTGTATGAAAGCATTGCTATGATATGAATGGTGTCCATCGTAGTAGAACAGGCTCTTTCATCAACTTCAATCAATAAGCATTGAAGATAATTAGTTTTGTGTCTTGCTCGCGTGTGCAATGAAAACCCCAAGTGCTGTGCCCCACCAATATTCTATTATGCATGAAATAATAAGATTAATTATTATTTATATGGATAGAAGTTATTCAGATTATATTGATATAATTAGATGAAGTAGAGAATATAGAACAAGTGATAATAACTGACAATAAAAAATCAAAAAATGCTGTTATTATTCATTAGAATGAAGAAAATTAGGAATACAATATATCAAAAATAAAAATGTAAATATTAATATAAATGGGAAAAAAGAAAATCAAACAGAATAAAACAGATACTACAGTTTCTTCAACAGATGAAGACAAAGAAGAAGAAATTGTTAAAGAAACATCAGTTATTGAGTTTGCTTGCCCTATGTGTAAAAAGCTGTTAGCAATGAAAAACGAATTAGAAATTCAAAAGAAAGGAAATTGTAAATGTTCGTGTATTCCGACAAATTTCAAATTGAGCAAAAACGATAAGAAAATGAATATTGATAAAACTAAAGACAGTATAAATCTGGAAACGGATGTTCATAATATAACTTTTAAAGGGGGAAGGCATGCATCACCATCCGATAATGGTGACAACGAAACACAGGAAACTATTAAACAAATGATGAACAACTAGTACTTAAAGAGTAGATTTTACATTAAATCAATTTTATAAATATATATAATTAAATAAATGAATAAATAAAAATGTAATTATTTGTATAATCATAATGCCAACTATGAATGGAGAAGACCATAGAATTATAACTTTTGACGATGAAGAAATTCAAGACCTATTCAATGGTGATGAACACTTTGCTAAACAATTGAGTGGAGAATATTTTTATTGGTTTGATGCTAAATTCAGTGATAAATATTTTATGAAAGGTATAACTAAACCAGATAAATTTAGTAAAATATTGATTTTTTTGAAATTACAGGTGGTGAAGAAGGTTTAATAAAAAATGAACAATAAAATTGGTGAAAGACTGTTAGAATATGGTTTATTTACATACATAACTTTAAATTATTCAGGTAAACTGTATAATACAACGCATAAATAAATATTTAAATAAATAATTATATAAATATATATATATGTAGAAATGTCTGAAGTTGAGAATGATGCTATTGCTGAACTATCAAAGAAGATAATGACAGTTAGTAAAAATGCTAAACTGTTGTACGAGATGATAAAAACTATTGACCAGAAACTTGATGCAAAGGCAAACGAACCAAAACATAACAATGAAGAGAAGGAAAAGATTGACAAACTCTTTTGAAAAGAAAGGGATAGGAAGACCCAGCGGTGATTATGACACGAAGCGTAAAACATATTGTGATATGTTAAATAAGGGACAATAAGATTATTAGGGAAGATGATAAATATCTATATTTCTAAAACATTATCTAAATCATTCTAATAAACAATATGAATTTATTAGAATTATATTGTGGAACTGGAAGTGCAAGAACCATGGCAAAGTCACCCGGTTATAATGTCATCTCATTAGACTTGAAAAATGCTGATATTAATTGTGATATTTTGACGAGTTTGGTGGATTAAGGAATTTGAGTTGGGGTTGGAGTTCAAACTTGAAATTTCTAGGTTCATCCAACGACAACACAGTAAAACTTATGAAACTTAAAATTTTGAAAATGATGAATTTTAAGGGGATAATCCATAGTTTATAAAATAAATAAAACACCAAAATATATATATATATAGATATATCCAGAAACTCTTGCCAATCGCCAAACAGGGCAACAAAAAATTGGCGAGAGTTTCCCCCTTATACAACATATAAATATAAGAAAACCCCTCCCAACACCTCCCGTCCATACCTAGTAGAGGACAGTTTTGTAGGCGAAGACGACGAAGAAGATACCTGCGGGCACAACGATGCGGGAACTACCAAAATGGGGGAAGGGTAAAAACGGGGTGGTTGGCAGTCCTCAACCTTACCTGCCTTCAACCTCACCAACCCTCTCCCAGCACAACAGCAAAATCCTTTTTTATTCTTCAGCAAAACCAATGCGCGTCCCTTGTCTTCGGTTGCTACACGCCCTTCCTGTGCGAGAATGTGCCAAACTGACATCAAACAATTTGGGATGTGTGATTTAGACATCAGGGATGTGTGATTTAGACATCAGGGATGTGTGATTTAGACATCAGGGATGTGTGATTTAGACATCAGGGATGTGTGATTTAGACATCAGGGATGTGTGATTTAGACATCAGGGATGTGTGATGTCAGAGCACAGGGCGATTTCAGCAAAATCCGTCAAACTACATACGGGGCAACATTTGGACATCAGCAGACTGCTTAATAGCAACCGCCACTGCCACCGTCTCGCGAATTTCATCAAACTTGATGGTGCCACCCTCGTTGCTGAAGTTCTGGTCAATGTCATCCTTCACCATCTCCTCAAAAGATGACAAAGCGGACGCAATCTTGTTCATCACATCAGACAAGACTTTGAAGGGTTTGAGGGCGGTGGCAATCTTGAAGACCTTGGTTTGGTTCGTTGCCTTGGACGAAGTGACAAGTGCCTCTTTCAGGGCGAGGAGGTCATCAACGCTCATCTCATCAATTGCCTTCTTGACATTGAAGGTTGTGGACGAAGAGACATTCAGGTAGGTCTGGTATGCCTCAGCGAACAACGTCTCGTCTGTTGCGGTCGGTTTGGATGGTTTCTTCTTGAAGATGTGCTTGACGACTTTGGAAGCAATACCGCCCCTGATACGGACGACCATTTTGACATTCATGCTTGTGCCCTCAAGGTAAGTGTTGATGTTGTCATAGTCCTCCAAGTAGGAACCATCAACGTTCAAGGTGTCGTCAGTGGGGGGGATGCCAAAGGTATCCATCAATGCCAACTTCAAGTCCCCGACTGTGGTGTCCTTCTTGTAGTAGAAGAAGGTCTTGAAACCCTCGGCGGTAGGCACGGTAATGGTAATGCTCCCCTTTGCTTGTTTCTCATCTTGGGGGTTGATGAACTTGTCCTGATAGTCCGCCAAGCAAACACCCTCGAGTGCACCCTCCTCTGCGTTGGAACCCTCCCCTGTGTTGGAACCCTCCACGTCATCAGTAGCACTGTCATCCTCACTCTCCGCCTCCTCCTCTTCATTGAGTGTGCCGTCATGGAACCTTTGCCAACATGCGATTGAAATGTCAATCATCTTCGCCTTCGTCACGACCCTTGGGGCGTTGAACCTGAAGCGCAAATTGTCCCAGCAACGGTTACCAGTGAACTCAAAGCAAAAGTCCCTCATCTGGTCAATGGTCGTTCCGCTCAAATCTTCTGTGGTAAGAGCGCCCCATTGTAAGTTCTCAATGACCGATGCCAAGACCACCTGAGCATTGCCAATCATCTTGAAGACCATGGTGCCGTCATCCATCTTGAAGAAAACGGTTTTTGTCTTCATAGTATTCATAGGGTGTCTCATCAATCTTGTGTCATTGCTCTCACGCAAAGCGTCCTGAACCAACTCCTCCCACTTGTCAAGCAAGTAGTCAATGACCTGACCTGTGTTCTTGTTATGGAAACATGCTTGAGGGCAACGCCGAAGGAAGACCACATGAACCGCAGTTCATCCCAAGTCATAGTCTCCAAGGTTGCCTTTGATGGGACGAGGTCATCATCCCGCTCAATGTTGCGCATCATCACCACGCTCCCAGCGGTGAAAGGCACATGCACAAGCGTAGCGCCCCTCTTCACCAGAAACATGGCACCAGTCAAATTGGAAACTGCTTGAACACTCCGAAATGCTCTGGAAGATGAGCAATGCTCAACTGACCAAGGTGAATGCTCACAAAACCCTATCACGACCCTCCAATTCCCAGCAACGGAGGGCACGGTGCGAAGATGAGGATGAAGAAGTCGTAGCGAGCGGTGCCGACGGTGTCCCAGAAAACCCAGAAAAGAATTAACCCATACACCTTACAATAAAAAACATTGTAAGATTTATGTTTTGAAATTATGGGGATTTTGGGATTTGGGATTTTGAAAAAATATATTTTGGGAATTTGGGATTTTGGGAAAATATATTTTGGGAATTTGGGATTTTATAAAAATAAATAAAAACAAATGGGAATTTTGGATTTTTGGATTTTGGTGGTAAAATTGGTTGAGGTGACGTGCCCCAGTTGGCTAATAAGGTTGAAGTGGTTGACTGAGGGGATTTTATTTGAACTGGGGCATGCCCTTTGGTAGGTCTAAGTACCTCAGAAGCACCAAGGGACCCTTTGGGATAAGGGGCCCACCTGAGCACCAAGGTAGGTTAAAACCATTAACCACCAGGAAATGGACCACTGGTCTTAGTCATTGTTTCCATTTACCAGGGCAAGCCATTTTGGGGTTACCCTGTTACCCACAGCCATACAAAGCCCAACCCTAGGCATCCCAAGGCATCCGACGAGTTCCGGTCGCAAGGTGAAGCGCACGGAATACCAGGTGCTCTCGGCCGATGCGGCTTCCGGCTGCGAGCTCAGGCGATTCGAGATCAGAGCCATGGGGAAGGGGCTGACTGACTGAAAGTATTTGGGGATGAAACCTGAAAGTGGAAAGAACCGCAACCAGGGTTTCAATGGCGCGTCACATGACAAGTGCTGTTTGTTTGTTTTGGTGACCTGTGGTTCCCTTTTTCAAGGTTCAAGGTTTTTCAATGTGTTTCAAGTTGATTTAAGTATCGTTTTTTTTTTTTGGTGACATGTGTTTCCCTTGTCCAAGGTTCACTAATTCACGTATCAGGTTGTTGTTCAAGGATTTGCAAGGTGTTTCAAAGTGGTTCACGTATTCAAACATTGTTCAAAGCTTTTCAAGGTCTTTCAATCATGTCCACACATCTGAAGGTTGCTTAAGGCTCTTCAATGCGTGTTGAAAGGTTATTCAAGGCTGCAGCTGTTTCAAGGTGATTCACGTGTTCAACGGGTGTTCAAGGCTCACGGATTTTCGAGATAAGTCTTAAGATGGTTCCTGGTAGGTTCAGTCGTTTCAAGGTCCAATTTGTTTCATTTGTTTTTTTTAATAACCAGTTGGTTTATAAATATATATTTTCCAATACTTTTATAGACCAGTTGGTTTGTGGCATGTGGCAGCCACGACAAAGCCTTGAGAAGGGCGGAGCGGAAAGGCCGGCGATCGAAGGCCAAGGGAGCCAGCCGAGAAAGGGCTTCAGCTAGGAATTGCTTCAGCTAGGAATAGGGGGCCCTCTAAACATGTTGTTTTTTCATTTTTTTGCAAAATCCAACGAAACACGTCGGCCAGGAAAAGTCCCATCGGATTCTCTTTTTTCTGGTCAATTTGGGGGTTCTCTAATTTGGATGTGGCTCAAAACTAAGCTGGGGCAAACCGCAGGTTTTGGTCCATGTTTCAACCCAGGGCCCCATTTGGGCACCGGTTTTTTGAGCCACTGTCATTTGAAAAACTCTCCAGAAGATGTGGGCGGGTTGGAACGACCCCTTGCCAGCAGTTGGATGTAGACGACCCTCTTGAAGCAAGGTGTGTTGGATGTTTGAAGAAACCCTGATTTGACCATCGGCTTTTTGTTGAGATCATATGAAAAAAATAGGTGCCTCGAATGCACGCGCTCCATTCTCAGGCTGATCCAGGGGACACCAAAAAGAACCCATCCATGTTTAGGGGACCATACGTTCGAGAAGCATCACCCCTGTCCGCGGTACCCCTAGCTCTTATATCCGGAACAATTGAATGTTTGGAACAAGCACAGATTCCTGGGGGCTGCTTCGGATTCCTGGGGGCTGCGTTTGTTTCCTTTGATTTAAACGCTCCTTGTTTAATTCTGCTTAGTGTTAGGTATAATTTAAGTTGAACTTGACACAGAATTCAGAAGAAATCACTAGGTCCCAACATGGTTAAATACACGTTGTTCAAATGTCTACTGATTTGCAAAGCCGATTCCATTGGAAAGGAAATCCTGTGTCGCATGTATTTTGAGTAAGAATAGGCACGAATTACATGCGAATTCAACACAACAATTGGTTGGATTCTGTCCTTATTTCTAAGGGTTGATTCCCCATTCTTTCGTCACACGCGCACTCAGTGCAACGATCGGTCTTTCCAGCCGGTTTCGGCTCAGTTTTTGATTTTTTCTGCAGCGAGCACTGACGCATGCAGAAAGTTGTCCCGCGGGCTAGGGGTAGGGCCAATAGACTAGACAACCCCTTCCCCTGACCTGCCAAAGTCATGCCGCTGCAGGCCATCGATCTTACTGGCAGCGTTCTGTTTTCCGGGGCATTGTTCTTTCCCTACAACCATCGTTCTTTCCCCAGGGCCATCGTTCTTTTCCCAACCATCGTTCTTTCCCCAACCATCGTTCTTTCCCAACAACCATCATTATTTCCCTTCTTTCCCCACCCCATCATTCTGTCCCCCTGCATCGTTCTTTCGATCAAAGATCAGCGTGTCCCTGTTTTTTGTGTTTTTTCGCTTTTGCATCTGTTTTGGGTGAAAATTGGAAAACCAGAAAGAATGGGGAAGTATTGTATGAGGTCATATTTTCGGTTAAAACCCATTCTTTCCAAGCATCCAATTTTCTAGGATTTCCGGTCTTTCCTCCCGAAAGTGATGACAACTGCTGCGTGGGCTGCTGCGCGGGCCCCCATTGAAAGAATGAGGAAGTGAATTGGAAGCTTGTGGAGAATTGGATCGCGGGCACCACTTTGGTGGGTTGGCTGCTGAGGGGCCCGCGGTGCCATCAGGAGGGTGCTTCAATGCTTGCCGTGAAGCCACGGGCTTTATGTTTGTCAGTGTCGCCTTGGCAATGATTCATGACATGGATGTGGGCAAAACAAGAAGGGCAAGGCTGACCGCCCCTGCTTGGGAGATGCCTGGTGGGCTGCTGGGAGTCGGCAAAGGGAGAGAACGGGAACAGTTGAGTTTTAGCCTTGCTTGGGTGGACTGCTTCGATGGC